TATCCTACACTACGGACGCCCTAGTGTATGCACAGTCCTTGTGATGCTTACCCCTCGTTCCGGCTCAAGGCATACATAAGCGGGGGGTAAACTTAACCCCAGATTTGCCGATCACGCATCTTCGTGCTTGCCAACGAGTTCCAAAGTACCCTTCCCAGTCGGCGATGTCACATGTACATTCTTTAGCGCAAAGTATGTACGTAGCAACCTTTCTCCCAAAACAAGTAATCACTACATGCTTTGCCGACTATGTAACTACTGTAGTACATCCGGTGCGATTCGGCTAGCTTTCGACCTCCTCCCCCTGGCCTCAAGTTCTATGTTTGCTATTCTGTCATCCTTAAGGACACTGAGAAGCAAATATAGGAAAGATCAGGAATGCAACATTCAAGAATAAACCAACGTTGATCTAAACCACATACTGTATCAGATACACTCAGATAACCTAATCACCCTCCTGCTCAAGCAGCGGCCCTTCTCAGTCTCCCCTTCTTGGATAGATGGTCGTTTGTGGATGAAGCCTTGACAGAACAATTGTTTTACAAAGAACACCAAGTTTTGATGCTAGAGGATATGTTTACAAAGACCTATCGTGATAGTTGTTTCATACCAAGCTGGATTTGTTGGATTTGAATAGGTTCAAGGAAAACCTTATTTCATGACGACGGTCTTAGATATTTTGTCAGATGACCATCAATAGTGCTAAGGCAGTGTACCGCCTGCAAGACTGCATAATTATACATGGGGGACCGGTTTCATGACGAGGACCCTTGGTGAGCTTCTTGGACCATTGTTTTTTCCCACATGTCTGGACAAATGTCGCATCATTTGTCGGAACGGATGCCGTACTTGATGCCAGCACACATGTCAGAACAGATGTCAGGATACGCGCCAGAACGGGTATCAACACAAATGCCGTAGCGTTTGTCAGACGAGTGCCAGAACAGATGTCAAAAAGTGTTTGAACACATACCTACGACTTGAATGCCAGAGCAAGTGTGAGGATGCATGCCAGGCATGCCACAGCACATATCGAAAGAAAAGCCGGGACACTTGTCATTGTCAGACCTGATGTCAGAACAATCGTCAGAATGGATGTGGCGGAACACATGTCGGAACATATAATGAAACATATAATGTCAGAACACATCACAGAGTGAACTCCCGACCACATATCCCAACATATGTCAAACCACATGCCAGAAATAAATGCCAGACTTCACAGCAGGACAGATGTCAGAACACATGCCAAGGACAGAGTTGATGCCCGCACAAGTGTCAGAACGTTGTGTCAATGCACATGTCAGGCAGCTGCCAGGATTGTTTGCAAACACATGTGCCATGTGCCCAGCCTTCTTCCACATCGACTCTTGGGGGGGTAGGCGTTACCGTCGGCAGGATGACCAGTGTTTCCAAAAACCCTTTTGAAGTTTGCCACACCAATAGTGGAAAAAGGGTCAATGCTGTAGATTCAGATATTGATGCATGTGTTTGGAGCTTGTCAAGCTGGTGATATAACTGAGAGGTGCACCTGATGAAGTTGTTTTGACTTATAACTTATATACTATTATACGGTTGGAACATGTTGGAATCCTATTTGTGTTTTTGTAATATCTTTCTTTCTTGATGTCGCCTGAGAACAGCATAGAAAAAATCATTCGAGGTGATTCCAGTGATGAGCAGCGGCGGTGCTGAAGCCTTAGTCACCATTTGATATGGATGACCTGCCAGACTTCGTGCTTCACTGGGCAAATCGAGGGTTGACGGATGTGTCAAAAGCTATAATGCCCTTTCCTGGTTTCATAGAACTTGGTGATGCTTTGTGTTTGCAGATGGCTCACAGAGTGGACGTGCAATCGTTCATGATCGTTCAGATCCTTATCCAATCCATTGACATTGGATTCCGACAAGTTTTGATGTGCCTGTGTGTGCCCTCAGCATCGCCACAGCAAGGCAAGCTCCGGCATGTTTGCATCTCTCTCAGTGCCATTTCGTTGCTGATCTAACCATTGACCACAAACGACATGCTTTTAGGCATGGTTGCACTTGGCAAGAAACCGAGGATTTCCCCAAGGAATCTTTCAATAAGCCCTCTTGGGCGCGTACGAGACATTGGGAGATGTTGCACAAGAAGGCCAGGACTTCCAGTGGCATGTTTTGGTCAGATTTTTGCGATGTCTCACATCGCAGTCTCCTTTTAAATGATTACGTAGCTTCATGATGCTTCATGTCAAGTGCAGCACCCTTTGAACCAATGGAACGAATGCCCTTTGCACTCGAGGATGCTGACGCTGCTGAGGCCCGAAAATGAGCTAGCTCATTTACATTGGAAACAGGACGTGCGCATGCACATGTTTGTCCGTTTTATTGCTTGGCCACTGGTTCTTTTGGACCACGCATATATGCATGGGTTCCGTTGGTATTTGGACCTCAGGTGGCAGAAGCTGTGGCCCAGCTGGCGCAATCCTACTTGGACAAGCTGGAGATGAGAAAGACGCTCGACAGGGAAAGCTGGGCTAGAAGAATTCGGTCCAGCTTGGCGGGGCCATGCAAGGAGCTTCTTCAGTCGTGCAAATAGATATTGGTCCAGAAACTGGCCTGGAAGATAGATTGAAGTACCAGGGCCTTCACCTTCCCTGAGGTCCGCAGAGAATGAGAAAGGCAAGGAGCGCAATGACCACAGTCACTACCGTTCTCAAATATGAGCAGTACTCGTGGTACGCGTCGGAGCCTTAACGTTGTGTTCATTCCGGGCAGGGCTTATTGTCAGTGTGGATGGGCTCTTTTCATCCACGTTCGGATCGGATGTGCAAGGACCGGCCAGGGGGCCACGACTGCCGCGACGACGGTCGCCTTGCATTTCTTTTGAACACCAGAATTTTCAATCGCCTCCTGTGGCGGGCACCTGACAGAATCACGGGCCAAAGCGTTTTGAGCTAGGGTTAGTGATGATGTTGGGCGCATGTTTACTTTGGATTTCAAGTTATCTTACGTGGTAAAGCCGTCCCCCAATAAGCAACTGAGGGAGAGTGGACATCCTGCACCCCATCAAAACTACTTGCGATTGCATAGCAGCAGCAGCAGTGGTAGTGGCAGTAGTAGTAGTTGTTGTTGTGGTGGTGGTGGTGGAGGGGTGGTGTTTTGTTTTCAATGCAAATCAAATTAAAACATTGAAGCATAAACACAATTAAACACCTCCTGGGCAACAAGCGTTTTGTTGTTCCCACCCACTAAACTATTCAGGATATGGGAATGAATAGATTGTTGAAAACTCGCTATTCATCCCTCCCACTTGACAAGTTAGGTTTCGACACTATGCAATCCGATGCAAACATGGTTCAGTGTTCTTTGGGGATCATTTCCACTTCCACGCACACACAAAAAAAAGGCACGATGCGTTAAGACTTACTGTCAGGTTGGAGACGACTCTTCAGACGTGTGACTTGCGTTGAGATCACTGGGAGTCGGACGATCGGAATCCTGGGACTGTGAGTTTGTTGGGTGCTTTCACGAAATCCGCGGAGATGCGGTGCCTCGGATGGGGACATCCAGCCACTTGAGCTGCGGTGCATGCCTCGGATAGAGGCATTCAATTTAACAGGCTGTGTTTGAGATCTGGCTTTCTTGAAGATTCAATCTGACAGTATTTGACATGCCTGCATTGCCTGCATGAACATGTTTTTCACTCTATTTCGTCGCTCACCAGGCATGCACATGAAATGTTTGTCGCGCATTCAACAGTTGTTTGGTGTAAGGGTTGCGTTTTTACAGCTGATCATTTTTGTCACTCTGCCAAGCTTGCAGGGGTAACCCCACAGTCAATTTCCTTGGCTGTGCCACCCAGCATCCAGTTCCTGTCAAGTTGTCAAAAGCTAGCATTTTCGGTGTTACTTGCTTTTGTATTTGTGTCAGACATTGGGTGGTGAAATAGTCTTGTCAGAGTGGGTCGCGCATGCCACCACAAAGAGGAAAAAGATGCACTAAGCAATTTGATCTACCACGCACTCAGCAGAAGACCTGTTTTTTGTCATTTTTGCAACAGGAGCCCAAGCTTTTTAGGCTCTGTGGGTTGAGGAGCCCAGCCAACATGTGTTTAATATACAGATGGAAAAAGATTGGCACATCGCCTTGCATGAACATATGTGGACATCCAATAACTAATGGCCCACCAAATTGCTATGAGCTAAATTCATGGACTTGTGGGACCCGGACTGGGCGAGATTGGTGAAGAGCATCCAGGATTGGTGGTGAAGAGATTGAAATACCCCGTGTTTTGACAAGGACGGAGTTAAATACCTAGACCATACGTCGAACATTCATGACATACCGGAGCATCGACCTTGTCCCCCCCGAGCTTGTAGCGAAGTGGGAGGGGTCATGAGAGGTCCATGCAGTTCGACATAGTTCGACAGGGACCTCACGCGTGAACGAGGGGAAGATGGTGAAATTGCTTGCGCCATGGAAGCGCCATCGGCGGAGGAGTTGGGTGATCGGCGTAGCCATGAGCTTAAGTTCTCATTTGTGTCTCTTCGGGGACAGCAACTAACTATAATTACTAAGCACCCATTTTGAAGTTTTGATAATTTTTGGGCAAGTTTGGCATGTTCGGTTGTCATAGTCATTGTCGTTGAATTCGTTTTGTTATACGCGTGTAATCGCGTGTATATCGTTTGTGTTTGTTAAAGCTGTTGGTAGCTTTCAACTTTCAGTTGTTTTTGGCTGATTTAGGGTGGTGCCTTCAACGCCCCCACTTGAACAGCATTGCAGCGCATTTTGTGACGCTGTGTTTTTTTTCATTATTGTCCTTGCGTTTATTTCAAATCAGTCCTTTCAATCCTTTCACTTTTCGTTGGTGTTTCCCTGCCCAGTCTTCTTGCTCGAATTCCTGTTTTGGCATGTCCTTTAGAACTTGTCCTTTGTTCTAGCAACACATTGCATGCTCCAAATCTCCTCCAATTGTTGTTCAATATAGTATATGTTCTTGGATCCCCTTGCCCCGGAGCCAGGGAAAAGCACAACAATCCCAAAATTAGCAAATGTTATTTTTCATCATTTCGGGAAAAACATGATAGACGACTGCCACACATTGCAAAACGACCATGTCGTGTGTTTGATCATTGTGTGAGGACGTGTGAGGTCAGGACTCAGGACTCTTTTTGATGTCAATCTGTTTTTACACGTGTATTCTGCTAAGGCCCTTTTTGCGATGGTGCCGGCCTTCGTCTCACCACCAAACTCGATGCCACCAGAGCCCGAGCAGGAGCCGTGGAAACAATGCATTTGTTCTTCCTTACTGTCGAGCCAGTCCTATCAAGTATCACTGTATCACGCATAATGTTGCTACAAAGTGGACAGTCCTTTGCGGATGCTATGCATGGGTTTGTTTGCTGGCCTGTGTGTGTGTGTGTGTCCACTCCTGTTTCCAAGGACACTACCCTAGTTTTTCT